ATATGACTTCTTCATCCTCCTCAACCATCTTATATGACTTCTTCATCCTGCTGAACCCATCTTATATGACTTCTTCATCCTCCTCAACCCATCTTATATGACTTCTTCATCCTGCTGAACCCATCTTATATGACTTCTTCATCCTCCTCAACCCATCTTATATGACTTCTTCATCCTGCTGAACCCATCTTATATGACTTCTTCATCCTGCTGAACCCATCTTATATGACTTCTTCATCCTCCTCAACCATCTTATATGACTTCTTCATCCTCCTCAACCATCTTATATGACTTCTTCATCCTCCTCAACCATCTTATATGACTTCTTCATCCTGCTGAACCCATCTTATATGACTTCTTCATCCTCCTCAACCCATCTTATATGACTTCTTCATCCTGCTGAACCCATCTTATATGACTTCTTCATCCTGCTGAACCCATCTTATATGACTTCTTCATCCTGCTGAACCCATCTTATATGACTTCTTCATCCTCCTCAACCATCTTATATGACTTCTTCATCCTGCTGAACCCATCTTATATGACTTCTTCATCCTCCTCAACCCATCTTATATGACTTCTTCATCCTCCTCAACCCATCTGTGATCAATCTCAGTTGGACTAAGCGTGAGTGAGTGCATCAAGACAAGAAGTACAGTGGCCTGGGAGACGGCGGGTTGATGTACACCCAGACGTGCTCTCCCACCGTCAACAAGCTCGGTGGACGACGGGGCGTTACAGTCAACGTCAACATTCTTGCCATGGTCAACATAAAACACGATTTTCAACGGTGACAAATACCAATTACTTGGGTCCGGAAATATAAAAAGGTCTTAAAGTATGTATAGAACATATAGCACAGTCAGATCTCCTGGAACATACCTGGAGAGGGTTTCGGGAGTTGTGATAACTTGGTCCAACAGGCTGTTGCTTGGAGCGGCCCGCAGGCTCACATGTCATGTCCACTACAGATTGGTTGGTCCGACACTTCTTACAAGAACTTGTCTAAGTGACTATTGAAGGGCTCCACCTTTGTTCCGGCAATATTTCTAATGCTTGCTGGGAGGGTGTTGAACAGCTGTGGACCTCTGATGTTCAAACAATGTCCTTTGATTGTGCCTATGGCACCTCTACTCCTCACTGGTTCTATTCTGCATTTCCTTCCGTACCTTTCGCTCCAGTATGTTATAATACTGTACACATTTGGGACCTGGCCCTGCAGTGTCTATGTTACCTGGTTACCTGGTTGATGGGGTTCTGGGAGTTCTTCTACTCCCCAAGCCCGGCCCGAGGCCAGGCTTGACTTGTGAGAGTTTGGTCCACCAGGCTGTTGCTTGGAGCAGCCCGCAGGCCCACATACCCACAACAGCCCGGTTGGTCCGGCACTCCTTGGAGGAATAAATCTAGTTTCCTCTTGAAAATGTCCACGATTGTTCCGGCAATATTTCTTATGCTTGCTGGGAGGACGTTGAACAACCGCGGACCTCTGATGTTTATACAGTGTTCTCTGATTGTGCCTATGGCACCTCTGCTCTTCACTGGTTCTATTCTGCCTTTCTTCCATATCGTTCACTCCAGTACGTTGTTATTTTACTGTGTAGATTTGGTACTTGGCCCTCCAGTATCTTCCAGGTGTATATTATTTGATATCTCTCTCGTCTTCTTTCTAGTGAGTACATTTGGAGGGCTATGAGACGATCCCAAAAATTTAAGTACTTTATCGCGTCTATGCGTGCCGTATATGTTCTCCGTATTCCCTCTATTTCAGCACTCTCCTGCTCTGAAGGGGGAAGTGAGTACTGAGCAGTACTCAAGACGGGACAACACAAGTGACTTGAAGAGTCAACCATTGTGATGGGATCCCTGGATTTGAAAGTTCTCGTAATCCATCCTATCATTTTTCTGGCTGTCGCAATATTTGCTTGGTTATGCTCCTTAAACGTTAGGTCGTCAGACATTATTATTCCCAAATCCTTTACATGCTGTTTTCATACTATAGGTACATTTGATTGTGTTTTGTACTCTGTATTATGTTTAAGGTCCTCATTTTTCCCGTACCTGAGTACCTGGAATGTTATTTTCTGATGCCCAGTCGAAAACTGTATTAATATCGGCTTGAAGTTTTTCAATGTCTTCAGCCGAGGTAATTTTCATACTGATTTTTGTGTCATCTGCAAAGGATGATACGAAGCTGTGACTTGTATTTTTGTCTATATCTGATATGAGAATAAGGAAAAGCAGTGGTGCAAGGACTGTACCCTGAGGTACAGAGCTTTTCACTGCACTTGGACTAGATTTTATATGGTTGACAGTTACTCGCTGAGTCCTGTTTGACAGAAAACTGAGTATCCAGCGTCCTACTTTACCGGTTATTCCCATTGACTTCATTTTGTGTGCTATCACGCCATGGTCACATTTATCGAAAGCCTTTGCGAAGTCCGTGTATATCACATCAGCATTCTGTTTTTCTTCTAATGCCTCAGTGACTTTGTCGTAGTGCTCAAGTAGCTGTGAGAGACACGATCTTCCCGCTCGAAATCCATGTGTATATGTTACGTATATGTTATTTGAACTTTCTCGTCTACTTTCCGGAGAGCACACTTTGAGACAGTCGCAATTTTTTACATGTTTCATCGTGTCTATTCGTGTCATAAAGGCTCTCTGCATTCCCTCTTAACTCAGAGATTTCTCCTGCTCTGAAAGGGAAAGTGAGAACTGAGAAGCACTCTAAACGAGACAGCACCAGTGATATCAATAATATTATCATTGCTGTGGGGTTCTGGATTTGAACGTTCTCATAATCCATCCTATCATTTTCCTGGCCGCCGCCGCTATTTTTGCTCGGTTATGTTCACTAAATGTCAGGTCGTCAGACATCATAATTCCAAGATCTTTTACATGTTGCTTTCCTCCTATGAGTATGTCTGAGTGTGTCCTGTACCCTGTGTTAAGTTCCTCGTTTACACCATAACTCACCACCTGGAACTTGTCACTGTTAAACACCATGTTATTTTCTCTTGCCCAGTCGAAGACTTTATTAATATCTCCCTGCAGGTTTTCAGTGTCTTCTACAGAGGAAATTTTCATGCTGATTTTTGTATCATCTGCTTTTGTCTATATCCGAGATAATAATGAGAAATACAGCGGTGCACGGACTGTGCCCTGGGGTACAGAGCAGCAGTGCACGGACTGTGCCCTGGGGTACAGAGCAGCAGTGCACGGACTGTGCCCTGGGGTACCGAGCAGCGGTGCACGGACTGTGCCCTGGGGTACCGAGCAGCGGTGCACGGACTGTGCCCTGGGGTACAGAGCAGCAGTGCACGGACTGTGCCCTGGGGTACAGAGCAGCAGTGCACGGACTGTGCCCTGGGGTACCGAGCAGCAGTGCACGGACTGTACCCTGGGGTACCGAGCAGCAGTGCACGGACTGTGCCCTGGGGTACCGAGCAGCAGTGCACGGACTGTACCCTGGGGTACAGAGCTTTTCACTTCACTTAAAAATCCAACGCCCCACTTTACCCGTTATTCCTATTGATGTTATTTTATGGGCTATTACTCCATGGCCAAAGGAAAGGATCATTTGCAAAGGAATTTTATGGGCTATGACCTAGATAAGTCTGTGTATACATCTGCTGCATTTCGTTTTTCGTCTAAAGCTTCTGTGATTATGTCATAGTGGCTGAGTAACTGTGACAGACAGGATCTTCCCGCTCTATATCCATGTTGTCCTGGGTTGTGTAGTTCATTATTTACCATAAAACTGGAAATTTCATTCCTAATCACTCTTTCAAAAACATTTATTATGTGTGATGAAATGATGAACTTATGTGCAACTGACGTATAATTTTTGGTCAAAGCTTTACTATCCCTGCTTGATACCTGGTTGATGGGGTTCTGGGAGTTCTTCTACTCCCCAAGCCCGGCCCGAGGCCAAGCTTGACAAGTGAGAGTTTGGTCCACCAGGCTGTTGCTTGGAGCGGCCCGCAGGCCCACATATCCACCACAGCCCGGTTGGTCCGGAACTCCTTGAAGAAAACCATCTAGTTTTCTCTTGAAGATGTGCAGAGGAGAATCCCCTTTGTGCAGAGGAGCTATATCTGCTGATTTAAGTGCTGCTGGTATCTCCCCTGTATCCAGGCTCTTTCTCCATATTACACTGAGCGCTCGCGCTACTGGTACGTTACATTTCTTGACTTGGTCACTATTCCTTGTAGAAGAGTGACCAAGTGATCACTATTCCTTGTAGAAGTGACCAAGTGATCACTATTCCTTGTAGAAGTGACCAAGTGATCACTATTCCTTGTAGAAGTGACCAAGTGATCACTATTCCTTGTAGAAGTGACCAAGTGATCACTATTCCTTGTAGAAGTGACCAAGTGATCTTGGAAACAATTATGTGAGAAGACAAACTAACGTTTACAGAACACACTAAAGAAGACATAGTAGCAATCAGGAAAATTATTGAAAGTGAGGAGAGCGAGAACCCTGAGAACATGGGATGACAGGCCAGGGGTGGTACTCTTCAACACCAACACTGCTTCTCCAACACTCCACCAGTGGTACACAACACTCCACCAGTGGTACACAACACTGCACCAGTGGTACACAACACTGCACCAGTGGTACACAACACTCCACCAGTGGTACACAATACTGCACCAGTGGTACACAACACTCCACCAGTGGTACACAACACTCCACCAGTGGTACACAACACTCCACCAGTGGTACACAACACTCCACCAGTGGTACACAACACTCCACCAGTGGTACACAACACTTCACCAGTGGTACACAACACTCCACCAGTGGTACACAACACTGCACCAGTGGTACACAACACTGCACCAGTGGTACACAACACTCCACCAGTGGTACACAACACTCCACCAGTGGTACACAACACTGCACCAGTGGTACACAACACTGCACCAGTGGTACACAACACTGCACCAGTGGTACACAACACTTCACCAGTGGTACACAACACTGCACCAGTGGTACACAACACTGCACCAGTGGTACACAACACTCCACCAGTGGTACACAACACTCCACCAGTGGTACACAACACTCCACCAGTGGTACACAACACTTCACCAGTGGTACACAACACTCCGCCAATGGTACACAACACTCCACCAGTGGTACACAACACTTCACCAGTGGTACACAACACTCCACCAGTGGTACACAACACTCCACCAGTGGTACACAACACTCCACCAGTGGTACACAACACTCCACCAGTGGTACACAACACTTCACCAGTGGTACACAACACTCCACCAGTGGTACACAACACTCCACCAGTGGTACACAACACTCCACCAATGGTACGCAACACTTCACCAGTGGTACACAACACTTCACCAGTGGTACACAACACTGCACCAGTGGTACACAACACTCCACCAGTGGTACACAACACTTCACCAGTGGTACACAACACTCCACCAGTGGTACACAACACTCCACCAGTGGTACACAACACTTCACCAGTGGTACACAACACTCCGCCAATGGTACACAACACTTCCCTGGCAGGGAGTCATGAGAACGTTTAGAATTTCAAATTGAGGTTTGGCGGGAGTGTGTGCCGCCGCCGCTGTTGGTGACCTGTAGCCGGCCAGACCTGTGTGGCTCTTACCAGTACTCCGCCGCCTTCCTCTTCCTGCATTCCCAGTTTTGTCCCTGTGGCACAGTGCCAACTCTCCGTGCGGGAAGTGCCAACCACCGACACTGCCGCGGGGACATGGGGGTGGGGGGTGAGGGGAGGAAGGGGGAAGGGAATCATCAGGGGGGGAAAGCGCCAAGCCATTACGACTATAGCTCTTGGAAGGGGTCAGGATAACGATTTGGGATGGGACGGGAGGAAGGAATGGTGCCCAACCATTTGGACGGTCGGGGATTGAACGCCGACCTGCATCCTCGCCCTAGAGTCCAGCCTTAGGGAGGACGGTAGGTGGAGGAAAGACGGGGGGGTGGGGGGGGGGTGCCTGTGTGAGGGTCACCCACACCCACCTATACGGCACTCCTGCAGGTGTGGTCACCACTACCAGGCACCCGGGTGCCAACTGGGGCCCCGGCCACACCACACTCTGGCACTGTCACACACTCCTGGTATAACCTACTGTGCCCATTATGTGAGAGGCACAGAGTGAGTGAGTGAGTGAGTGAGTGAGTGAGTGAGTGAGTGAGTGAGTGAGTGAGTGAGTGAGTGAGTGAGTGAGTGAGTGAGTGAGTGAGCGAGCGAGCGAGCGAGCGAGTGAGTGAGTGAGTGAGTGAGTGAGTGAGTGAGTGAGTGAGTGAGTGCTGTGAGTGAGTGAGTGAGTGAGTGAGTGAGTGAGTGAGTGAGTGAGAGTGAGTGAGTGAGTGAGTGAGTGTGTATTTACTATCATTATTTACTATTTGTGCCTGCAGAATCAAGCTATTAGCTGTTGGACCCGCCTTTCTAACCAATCTATTTTTTCCTCTATTACGTTTACTACATATATTTCTCTCTGACACACACACCCATCCCAGGAAGCAGCCTGTAGCAGCTTTCTAACTCCCAGGTACTTATTACTGCTAGGTACTCTAGTGCTCTCTAGAGTGGAGTACTGCTGCACAATGACAGCCCCTTTCAAAGCTGGAGAAATTGCTGACCTGGAGAGCGTGCAGAGATCCTTTACTGCTAGAATCCACTCAGTAAAACATCTAAACTATTGGGACCGACTACAGAGCCTAAATCTGTATTCTCTTGAGTGCAGGCGGGAGAGATACATAGTAATTTACGAGTGGAAAATAGCAGAGGGGCTGGTCCCACCTGCACACAGAAATAACATCACATGAGACCAGAAGACATGGCAGGATGTGCAGAATACCCCCGATGAAGAGCAGAGGTGCAACAGGTACTCTGAGAGAGAACTCTATCAACATCAGAGGACCGAGACTGTTCAACACGCTTCCACTACACATAAGGGACATAACTGGCCGACCCCTCACAGTGTTCAAGAGAGAACTTGACAAAACACCTCCAAAGGATACCTGATCAACCGGGCTGTGACTCATACGTCAGGCTGCGAGCAGCCGCGTCCAAAAGCCTGGTTGATCAGTCCAGCAATGAGGAGGCCTGGTCGAAGCCCTGAAACCATATCAAGGTAACCTTAAGGTAGGTGAACAGGTGCATCAAGTGAAAGAAACTCTGCCCATTTGTTTCTGCCTCGGCCGGGATTCGAACCTTGGCCACTACGACTCCTGCGCGATGTTCACTCAGCCACTCATCCCCAAGACTGAACTCGCCTAGTTGTTGCTTGCGGGGGTTGAGCTCTGGCTCTTTGGTCCCGCTTCTCAACCGTCAATCAACAGGTATACAGATTCCTGAGCCTACTGGGCTCTATCGTATCTACATTTGAAACTGTGTATGGAGTCAGCCTCCACCACATCACTGCCTAATGCATTCCATCCGTTAACTACTCTGACACTGAAAAAAGTTGTTGTCTCTGTGGCTCTTGTGGGCACTCAGTTTCCACCTGTGTCCCCATGTGCGTGTGCCCCCCTGTGTTAAATAAACTGTCTTTATCTACTTTATCAATTCCTCT